TAGCGTCGCCAAAATTTGGTAGAAAAAATACAGGGATCTGTGGGATAGAGCCTGATAGAGCTCTGAGATGCAAGACTCGCGCTTCAAGGCAGCTAGTTTTGCTGGCTTGAATCTTGAACGGGATGGTGGAATATGAATGCGAGATCACCGCGATTATCCGTCTCAGTTTCGCCGAGATTTGGCAGTGAAAAAAATCTGGGTGAGAGAGGTCGTAAAGCCCAAGGAAGACAAAGGCTGTAGGTCGCCTAGTTGAACTAGAGGCTGGAATGGAAAAAGGCGGCCGATGCCAGTGATCAGTAATTGCCACCTTCGCCAAAATTTAGCGATGGAAAAACAGAAGCTAGGTGCGAGTGATACAGGCCATGCAAGTCGATGAGCGTAGTGGAAGTTCGAGTCCAACATGGTCATGGGGCCGACGGCCGGCCGACGTAAATCTTGTCATGCTAACAGTGATCCGGGCAGCCAGCCTCTATATTCGAACACAAAGTAACACACACGCTCAGGCACGCTTCTGCGAGTACGAGAAAAACAGCTGGACGGAATACGACCAGTCCACCGCGTCGCCGCCCATCTCCGCCAGGAACTCCTGCTGCACCTCCCTGGTCAGTCCGCCTGACGAGACCGCCTCGGGGTTCAACTTCTGCGCGCCCACCGCGTTCATGAAGGCCTGGCGCATAGTCCGGCTCAGCGGGCCTAGCGCGGGATCTGTCGCATCGCAGGTAAGCCGAAAAGCTAAATAGACGTTGCCGCGACGCGACACGGCACGCACCTTCGGGGATGGGGTTTATCGGCACGTCTACCTTGGTGACGTTGACCTCGCTGAGCGCACTCGAGCTCTCGAGGTACGACTTGAGGCTGGTGCCAAAGTGTGGGTCGCCCGCGTGCGATTCCATCGATTTAATGAGACCAGTGAAGCCTCGTTTCACGCCCGGGGCCTTGTCGAGACCTTCGAAGGCGTGGAGGAAGTCGATGTCGTCGACCAGGAGCCAGCCTCCGGGAGCGACGAGATCGATGATGCGGGGGAGAACGGTGTGTCCGTTGGGAAGCTAGGATTTTCAGTTGGAGGTGCGGTATGGAAGAGTGAACTTACATGGCAGAGAACGAAGCGGACGTGGATGACGTCGAAAGTTCCTGCTGGGAATGGGAAGGGCTGTAGGATGTCGAGCTGCTGAAAACGGATGTTGGAAGGTAGGGGTCTGGCATTTGAAGTTAGTCGGTGTACATTAGAATAAGTGCTGAATTTACCTTGCGGGGAGTGGGTTCATGTCGACCGCGAGAACGTCGGCATCGGGGTACTGCTTAGCGGCTTGGATGGCCCTGTAAACCAACTAGTCCGTCGCAGAAGAGTTGCATTTCCACCAAGGCTCACCATGCTCCTGAGCCTGATCTGTGAAATGGTCAGCTCAACAATTGATTCTTCAAGGAGTGCCGTACCCAATTTCCAGGATTTTGCGTGGTTTACCCAAATCTACGGGGGACAGTTTATGGTCTAGATATTTGGCGATTCCGTTGTGCTGAGCGTCGAGTCTAATGATATATATTGTCTTAGGAAATTCGAACAAACTCTTAGTAAATTTTGTACCTATCCCATTCAGCTCCGTCGGACTGTACCAATTAGCTGAGATATACATATCAACGCGATGAGGCTGCTTACCACCAGAGCATAAGCGGTCGGTGTAGTGGAAGTCATGGTGTGGCGGGAGTTCTTAGGAATTGTATCAGGGGGATCCTAATTTGGAATTATGCTAAAACTCCTTCTTGCTGAGTTTGTCATCAAAGCTGCTGCACTGTCGATCGGCATCAAGATAAAACGGGTCAACGTAAATCAGAGTTTTAGGTAGGTTGTCTAGGAACAAGTACCAAAGGAGTTTTTCCCTGGATTTCCCCACGGAATTACTTTGCGCCAGATCTGGGCATTCCGTATTTCACAATTCGCGCAAAACACGTGGCAGATCTCTAGATCTCTCCCAGATCTCAGTGCTTCTGGATGCAAAATTCCATAAATCCTGTCCGGACTGGACCGCACTTAACAGACTCCGGAGACTAAAGCCTGTTCCCGACCTGAACCAGCCTCTGCCAGGCTCATCATGGCCCGTTTTGGTAGAACTATTGATCTGACCCCTGATTCCCATGGTAGTTATTCAATTGTTGTAACATCCAAGAGTGAAACGTTTAATCTTCAATTTCTAAGACATCCACAAGTTGAACTTGTCCACGACCTCCTCCAACTCTCTCTAATGGGTTCCTCGCATTCTACCGTATCTAATCCGCATAAGTTCGCAACACCCATCATATACGACGCCGACGCCAGCACGGTCGAAATAAAACCGCAAAAAAGCTACGACTATGTTATTGTAGGAGGAGGTCAGTGCACTCGGAGTCTTGGTCATGCAGACCTTGAATTCGCGTCGCAGGAACCGCCGGTTGTGTTCTAGCCGCACGACTTTCGGAGGACCGCAACGTCAATGTATTGCTCGTCGAGGCCGGGAAGAGGTTCGTGGTCCGGCGTGAAATAACTATGGATTCGCGTCTCACTGCGTCTGTTTCAGCAACAAGGGCGTTCGAAGCTCTATTATTCCACTCGCGTTCCCCCTATTGATGAAGAGCAAGTACGACTGGAACTACGAGACAGTGTGCGTTCACTTCCGTGCTGGCGGAATGTCAGGTTGACAATTGTCTCGTTTAGCGGGATGACCTCTCTGGGGGGCCGTACGAGTTATTGGCCGCGTGGGCGACTTCTAGGAGGGACGAGGTGAGTTGTATCGTGTACATTCATGAATAATCGCTAATAACCTCATAGCTCTATTAACGGTTCGATGTATCACCGTTGCGCACCTGAAGGTCTGTTCTCCGAACACTCCAAATTTAAATTTCCGCTGACAATAAATTAGATTTCTCTGCTTGGGTTAACGAAGGCGCGAAGGGATGGGACTACGAAAACATGAAACCGTACGCCTTGCTTCTAAGGAGTGTTCATCGAGCTTAAATCATTTATTCAGGTATTTCCGCAAGGCCGAAAAATACACTCCTCATTCCGGCTATCCCAACATAAATCCCGAACTCCATGGTACGGATGGGCCGGCAACGACCAGCCATGGTACCCTTGCGGTAGGCACTCCTTTGAATTATGCTTGGAGAGCTTGCTTATAACTGTCTCGCAGCCTATCTCGAAGGATATTCTTCAAGCCAGTATTAACGTCGGGATACCTTATGTGCCGTGAGTCCAGTTTCACCGAAGAGCGAGCGTCGCTGAATAAACTCAGTGACTTCAACACGGACGCTGGACCCACCGGAGTCGGCCTGTTCGTTCGCAATGTCACCCCCAACGGCAAACGTGAGTGTTTCTTCACTGCTAGTTCTAGTCCGATTCGCATCTAATGTATCTTCAGGCGTATCCTCTGCCACGGGGTACCTGACCCCGGCAGTTATGCGTCGACCGAACTTGACTGTGGCCGTCGAATGCCAAACTGAGAAGGTTGTTTTGACATCAGACGAAAAAGTCCCACGGGCGACGGGTGTCATCTTTTCTACCAAACGCGATGGCCAGCGATTCTTCGTTCCTGCTGCGAAGGAAATCATCCTTTCCGGCGGTGTTATCGGGACGCCTCAGGTTCTCCTGCTCTCCGGCCTGGGGCCCGCAGCGGAATTGGCAAAGCACAAAATCCCGCTCATTCGTGACCTTCCTGCGGTTGGAGAATACCTCCAAGACGTGTGTTCTGTTCTTTTTTCCCCCCTGGACCGTTGAAATTCATTGGGCCATACAGCACTTCTCGTCTGGTCCTATCTTGATCCGCGCCAAGCGCGGCACCTGGGACTCCGTTCTTCGACCTCTCGGCGCTCTCTGGGCTCTGGCCAAATGGTTCCTCTTCGGTAGCGGACCTCTTGCGTCTCTGAGTGTCCAGGTGGCCTGTTTCGTTCGTTCCGACGACAAAACGTCTGTCTCACGCATTGCTTTCAAAATACCAACTAATTTCGAACCGTAGCTTACCTATGCACGACGGCGCCAAGAAATATCCCGCAAAGAACCTCACCTCGGGCCCCACCGCCCCCGACATCGAGCTGTTCTTCGCGCCGTTCTTGACCCCGCCGCTCAACGGACCACCATACCCCTTCCCTGGACTCACATCCGTGCGCGCGCTTACTGCTCCTCTGGCCACAAACTAATATCGGTGTAGGGAACTCTCCTCTTGAAGCCCGCAAGTTACGGCAGCGTCAAACTCGCCAGCGCCAATCCTTGGGACTACCCCAACATCGACGCCAAGTACGTTTCCGTCTGACTATCGTACAGATTATACTTATCTTACACCACGCAGCTATCTCGCCGATGCAAGCGATACCGCACTGTGCATCATGGGCATGCGCCTCCTGATGCGCATCGCGCGGACCAAGCCCTTTGTTGACTCGCTGGATCTGCCCAAGGACTCCAAAGACAAAACCTCCCTGTTCTGGCCGACGGACTGCAACCCTGATACCGTAAGTACCTTCCTCCCATTTTCTTTTCTTTTTTTGTTTCTTACCCAAACACAAGGTTTCTGACGACGACCTCGAAGCATGGACCAGACTCCACGGCCAGTCCACGGGGCACCCGGTATGTTTCCCTTCCTCCGTATACCCAATCTCCCTCGGTTCTAACTCTGAATCACAGACCTCAAGCGCGCGGATGGGCAGCAACCCCAGCACCAGTGTCGTGGATAGCCGTCTCAAGGTACACGGCGTGGAGGGCTTGCGAGTGTGCGATGCCAGTGCGTTCCCGACGCAGGTTTCGGGGCACCCTACCGCCGTCATCATTGCTGTCGCCGAGCGGGCGGCAGACCTCATCAAGGGTGTCGCATGATAACATACAGTGTTGTAGTAGACTATTTATATATTCTTGGGTTACAAATGAACCACAGCGGTAAACAACCTCAAAATACATATCCTCGCGAAAAGTAAGATGTGCACTAAGAGTATGCAAGTCCAAATGTCGTACTACTATCCAATAAAATAGCAAACTTCCTATCGCCCGGATGGTCTAGTCGTATGATTCCTTGTTAGGGTTAGCTGATCCAAGTGGTCAGCTAATAAGCTCGAGGAGGTCCCGCGTTCAATTCGCGGTTCGGGCCTTTTTTTTTGCGTTCTAGAGTTCCCTTGTACCCGTCGCTTCACTGAGATGATTGTCATTTTTAATCATCTTTTGATGGATTGATGGGATTCGCACAGCCATCAATCCCCAACTGTCGCCAGCTTCTGGGTATCGTGTCCTATTTTCGCCTTATAGCCTTTGTACCACTGGCATGAGCAGGCTCCCAATAAATTTGTAATTCCTCGTAACACGGAATCATACTACCAGACCATCTCGCCGATTCTATGGGGAGGGAGTTCTGAGAGTTATGGTTGGAATCGACCAGCCCCTATTCTGCTTTCTACCCAAAATCTCATTGCATACTCTTAAATCTCCTTGCTCTATTTCAGAACGAGGTTGCGAGTGGGAAGCCGGTGTAAGAGTACCGTTTTATAGGTAGACTCGAAGAGTCTAAGACGCGCGTTTCTCCAGCCAGTCCTCAGCCCAACGTAGAGGCTATCGAAACTTCGTTGTCAACCGAACATTCCTCAAGGGACAAACTCTCATTCTGAAATGCGGTAAAGCCATGAATTTGTAAGTTAGGGGTCTATGTTAGTGTTAGTACATCGGCGTCATCTAGGCTAGAGTCTTCTCGACGAGATCCCAAGCCTTCTTCTTCTCATCCTCGGGTTGCCACGTCCACTGCCACTCCATCTCTTCCTGCATACGCTTTCCGAGCGACTCTAAGTCCGCAGCCGCCGCCTCGTCGTGCAGAGCACAGTCGATGCCGGTCCGTCGCGAGCTTTCTACGACGTGTCGGGACATCGGAACGCGCACCTGCGAGTAGATCTCGAGCGCTTTGGTGATGTTGTCGCGGTTGACGGCGGGGTGAGACAGGATCGTGTCGAGGATGTACGCGTCCTTCGGAGTGGGTCAGTGGTGTCGAGGAAGGAAAAATAGAAGGGGGCTACCTCAATGGCTTGGCCGGCGCCAGCACCTTGGAAGTTGGTCATTGCGTGCTTAGGTTGGAGGTGAGCAAGTCGAAGAAGTTAGGCAAAGAAGCATACGAACCGCCTGAAGAAAATCGTTAGCCAAAGCAGACTTTTCCGGGGTTCAAGAAATACTCACTGCATCTCCCAGCAATATAACGCGAGACGAATTGAAGAACGGCAGGGTGACGGTACAGATTGCCCATCGGCTTACAATCGGATCGATGCACTAGAGGGCCGCGCATGAGCCAAAAACAGATTGGAGAATTGTTGTTCTTACCTTGAAGAGAGCCTCTACGTCGGGTTCCCAGCCAGGGTATAAGGACGCAAGATGCTCGGAGGTTACATCGGCCACCCAAGCCCCCGGGTATATTTCACCCTCGCGAGTGTAGTCACATTGGTAAACCCCAACATTCAAGACGTTGGAATGCTCGGAGAGAATGGGGTAGGACATGATGTGCTAGAGCGGCCGTTGGTAAATGATTCATGGAACTCCTTGATTCTCACCTTTTCCTTTCCTAGGAACTGCGCGGAAATTTAGTATTCAATCGAAATATCTCAAGACTGAACACAGACCTGAGTAGGGCAGCTGAGAGCGTGGTGATTGGGCGCAAACGATCGCAGCTTGTCGGCCGAGATGACGGCGCGATAAACCTCGACACCGCTGAACCGCGCCTCGACATGGTAACGCAGCTTCTCTGCCTCCTCGGCCTGGCCCGCCTTCAACGCCGCGTCCGCGGCCGCATTGTACATGGAGGCGCGTGTGGCCGACTTGATGCCATCCGCGCCAATAAGGACATCGCAGGTCGCGGTAGTTCCGTCTTGGAACAGCAGCTCAATCGGATCAGTCGCGTTACGTTCCGTGTAGCTGACCAATCGCTTGCTCGTCAACGCTTTGGCGCGCGAGGTAAGCTGGGCCAAGAACGCGCCGTGGAAGTGCGAGCGGCGGAACCTCACGTAGCCAACCAGACTGGTGCACATGAAGATATCCTGTCCCACCGCTGCATCCGACTTGCGATACCGGATGCAGTCCACTAACAAAAAATCAGTCTACCGGGAATCGATTCCATGCAATGAACGCAGTCACCGGTCTCATCCATCTTCGGGATCTCATCCAGGAGCGGTAGCAGGTGCTTTTGCAAGTCGAGCAACTCGAGAATTCTCCAGGGCCTCCATGGCATCCCGATGGAGAGGCCAATCTCGCCGAACTCGGAGGCTGCTTCGTATATGGTGACCTCGAGTTTTTCGAGCTTCGACAACGTAAGAGCGGCGATTAAGCCTCCCACACCTCCACCGCTGTATTAGAGGCAGATTAATGGATGGACTGGGGAGCGAATGGGAATGTACACACACAATTGCAACACGAATTTTAGGAGTATCAGCCATGGAAAGATGAGAGTGAGTTCCCTTACACTCTTGCTATTCGTGCTTATATATGGGGCAAGGGGCTGGACTTGATGACCGGTCGAAACATTCTGGATTCACAAGAGCGAAACGGCCCAACGGCCCATTTCAACCTCCACTTCAGGGATCCCGAAAAAACTTCCGACGCATTTTCACATTTCTTGAGAAACTAAAATATCAGAACACGAGAGTACCAAAAGGAATGAACCGTCGCGAATTTCGCGGTGGCAGTTAACTAGACAGGTCCGCAATTCTCCAACGAACCAGGGATATCTTGAAACAATTATGTCTGACTACTGTAGCCGCCAAGAATAGTAAAGCATGCCCAAGAAAATCACTGTCGGTAACATCAAGGCGACGGACAGCGTCGCCGTTGGGCTGAAAATTCAACGTGTCGTGCGGGTATCGAGATGTATGGGTTTAAAATTGTAATGGGCCAGAACATTTGCGGACGCCGGAGAACCGACAACCGGACCATTAATTCCCGGAGGCTTTTCGAAGCGGTCGACTTGAATTTTCCTTTTCCGGAGTGGAGATGCCATAAGTACTTAGAATCCAAATTCATCCCAAAGTTCCGATGCCGTTACTTTGCTACGGCCGATCGTGATCTTCATACTCCGTTCGGTGTTGATGCGATCAGTATTCGCGCGGAGAGATCGATCTCTAGATCTGCCGTAAGTATTATGCAACCATTACGAACCAAGATTGATCCCGCGTACATCCTCATAGGTTCGTAACTGCGCTGCCTCACACTGCGCTCACCTGCAAAATTATGAACCATGATGTCGGTTGAGTATCATATGCTGCAAGAGCGTAACCGAGTCTACCGAAATGAAGAGGCCATGGAGTACTACATGGAGATTGTTATATTCAGATGTCATGATGCATTCGCATAGGAGGACTCCATGAGCGACGAAACTCGAACATTTTCGGCCGGTAGCGAATTCATGGCCCATAGCAACGCATTTATTTCAATGAGCGCCGATGAACAGGGTTGATTTAAAACGTTGCGTACTGCGGAGGAAGGGGGAAACACCGCTTCGGAAATTTGAAGAAAATATCTCAAGTTCCCTCCGCCACCATCGTATCGAGGTGGAGCTTATCATGATGGGATTGTAGTCGCCATCGCCATAATTCCGTCAGCGCTCAGTGAGTTGCGGATCAAGGACCCCAGAGAGCCTTGGTAGCCTTGGTATAATGCTTGGTGCGAGATTCCGCAGTCTACCAGCCGAGAAAGCAAGAAAGCGTAAGGAAGGAAGAGTAACCGGTATTAGCATACCCCGGAAAATGGAAGAATAATATTTACATTTCGACACATCAAACAGGTTGACGAGGAAATAAACTAGTGCATAGTCCCACGACCCGAGACAGCCGTTATTGCGATTTGAAAGATATTGAGACTTGAAGATATGATTTTCTATCGAGTGAGTTACTCCCCAGAGAAAGCGCATAGCAATGACGAAAAGACGGTATTTGGCAAGCAACTGCAGGCTGCCTATCTGATCTGGAAGTACAGTCACCGTCGAATCGCACAAAGTCTTGAGGTGTGAGAAAATGGCGGCCACTCATGAAAGGAAATTCGGGTCGTGAGTTTGGATACTGGGGCTCCTGAAACGGCGTTCGTTTTGTACAATGTCCGATATCCCATCCAGTTGCGCAGAGGGTTTTTGTATCTGCCTCCGTGTTCTCTGTTTGCAAAAAATCGTGGCTTTTGGTACCGCGGTCCACCTCCTGGACGAGTCAGGATCCGCATCGAAAGGAGAGGCCCGCAAGACAAGACGATGTCGGACGTTGGCAGAAGGATGATCGTGAGTGAGTATTGCCGAAAGGTGTCCTGCTGGCATGGAGCCAAATGCAGGCTAATGGACAGGAGCGGTGCTCGCGCAAGAGGTCGGGGAAGGGCCGGAAAACGGAGGGTCGGATTTTATAGTGTATATGAGCAGTTGCGGTTTATCCAAATGGGAATCTGGACGCCTCCCGCTTGCAAAAGGCCGTGTTGAGGATTCTACCGGCACCTTGTGGCTTCCGTAGGACCCCACCATGATCCTCGAACGTGCCAATCAAATTAAAGAAGAAGAATTCAAGAATCCTTGGGAGATTGAAATTCAGAATCCCGTTGGGGATGACTGTAGGGAACTTCTGAGGGTACCCACAAGATCTCGAAGGATGATCCGTTGTTCGTCCACAATCGTTGGTCGAAGCTGGTAAATATTTTGGATCAAATCTCGATCGAAATCAGCTTCGCGCACCATCCTTCCGTCTTTTTGACCTTTCGACCGAAAATTACTTGACGGATCACGAATCGTGGGGTTCAGTTGAGCTGTGACAGAACCAAAAATGCGATTTCGAGGTTATATAGTCTCTAATAGACCGCTGTGTTCAGTGATCAGTATGGACCCATTGTCTTTTCCGAGAGCGTCGATTTCCGCTTGTTGGACTGCACCTAGTAAATACATGAAAAAGGCTTGATAGAGAGAGGTGCAACTCCACCGAAGTACTGCGAAGACGGCCCCACTTCCTTTCCTCGCCCCTTTCGACCCATCTCGCCGAAATCAGTTGACGGACCGACAGTCCTAGTCCTGGCTTCAAGGATGACCCGATGTGACATTGAACACAGAACCCAGTATTTTATTGACGACATCAAGCGTCCGTGAATCGGGAAGGACGA